AAAAAATATTTTGCAGTACAGTTACTTCTGTATTGCTATTTACAATTATCCTTTTGTCACTGAAAATAAATGTTTGCTCTTCTGTACTTACACCAAAATAGACATACCTATGGTCAATAGAAGTTAGTAGCAAAAGCCTCTAGTACTCTGTACTGAGTTCTGTAATCTGGAGACAAACAGAGCAATTCCTATGACAGCTTCTCCATGGGAGCAATATGCTAGCAGGTTAGATGGAGACCCTGTCATTTCCATAGCTGATATTCCTCTCTGCTTCTGTCCCAGAGATGTGAAAATAAAGGGAAAAACAGTTGACCTGGATACAGAGATCTGAAGAACACAAAGGTTCGTAGCAGGTGGATCACCTAAAGGGCACAAGCAAAAATAAAAAGGACAAAATGTAGCAAAACCACAAAAGTAGCAGAAATGGATGGTGCAGAAAGTTCTTTCTCTGAATTTGTATCTTATGATTTCTTTCTGACGTCATTGGTACACAGGATTTTCATAATGCCTAGCTATTTGTTGAAATCCTATAAAGAAGAAAAACTTTTTGCTGCTACCTTTTCCCAAATAAGTACTTCAAGGACAATGTCATTGTGCAGCTAGATGTCCTAAGCCCAACTGATAACTCAAATGAGATCTAAAGTAGTGTGTATGATAAAGATACCATTTAAGTACTTTTTTCTGTATAGGAAAATGCACTTCAAAATTTATACTGACATTTTAGTTGGGTTAAAAAAGCAAACAAGCAACCAGAAGTTGGACAACACCAGAGATGAAATGGCTGGTGTGATCTTGTTCTTTTCTTTTTTCTCATGTCCTCAAGTTCTTCATCACCATTAAATGCCATTACACTTAGATCCTGCCTTCACTTTAAGCAATCTCCTTTTGAGGCGCATTCTGCATAGCAGAAATGGCACCAGCAGCTCTAGGCAAGATTGCAAACAGATATGACTGGATCTAGGAAGGATTAGCTGCAAAGCAATCAGGTATGTATTATTTCTTGGAAGGATGGTTGCCAAAGTTGTAGGAAGGCCAGACATAATCAAAAAGTAAAAGCTGGGGACAATCTACAGCAAACTTGGGGCAATGTCTTATTGTGATTATACAAGCAGTTTTCTCTGGCAACTCTAAAATGTTGCAAGGAAACACCTGAGACCATTGGCTGCAGGGTGCGTCATTGCAAAGGCTTAGCGTGGCTGAGGCACATTCAGTGCAAAACAAAAGGTTCTCATTTTCTCTTAACAAGGATCTAACAAGCTCTGTGGAGTATAAAATTTACTACAAATAACAGGTTTTACAGATTACAGTTTAGCCAGTTTTGAGCAGCCTTTCATTAAGAAGGATTCTCTGTGATTTTAGGATTATCTCCTTGCCCTGCTACAAATAAGAAGATATCTTTAATAGTCAAAACACATGTAGATCTTTGTATACATGACAAAAGTTATGTCACCTTGCAACCCAGTGGTGTTTTCCCAGTGACATCATAACAGGTAACTGAACTGCATACTTGGTGGGATTTATAGAAAATCACCGGGCATTACATCATGGAGCAATAAAAGCTCTTCAGTACTCTGTAATATTAACGTATGTCCCTCCAGCACCTCCTATTTTCTGTAGCTGTTCGTGGCATTGCACGTTGGGAAGAAGTTGGTCTGTGCATTCTGAGAATGTGTCTTATTTAAATGTAAAAAAGAACATGTTTTATGCTTTATTTCTTTCATGTTAATTGTATTGATTGATTTGATTGTGACCTTCATGCTTTGTACTTTCTTTTATTGCCTCCTATGAGCAGTGGAAGTTCTTTAGAAAAACCTCTGAGATAAGACCATGGTAACACTGAAAAGAACATATTTTTGTTTTCTATTTCAGTGCAACTACAGGTTCAGTCTAGCTCAGTTATTCCTGATAGTAATGATTATTTGCTATATTCTGTCTCTTGTCAAGGTGAAACATGAAATAGGTTGGCTCATTTTTATGCAGAAATTCTGGGTATTAGATAAAGCAAATAACTTCATTATCATTAAGAATAATACTAGGTATTATCAGAAAGAGTAAATAATTAACAAAATTTGAAAAGTAAGACTTTTTCCAGAAACATATTTAATTACCCTCTTATTTTATAGACAGATTTATGTATATGCATAATGTATAAGGCTAGAACTCTTTTATTTGAAGAATTCACTTCAAAGTCAGGTGATATCTGCCAAAGATCTGAAAAATCAGGAATTCATATGCATACTTATCTGAGATTTTATACAACACATTGCTATTGCAAAATGTTCTCTTCCTATACTCTTTATTATTTAAATTGGTTGCTTACATCTTCTACATTTTTAGCATTTAAATGTATCTCATTATGAGGTGATCCCAAGAGATCTTGAAATTCTAATTTCAACTCTTTTAAATAATCAATGTGTACAATTAAGTCAATCTTTTAGAAGACCAATAGGCATCTATGTTTTCCAGTTGATTGTATAGGCAAATGCTCTGAATGTCAAATATTTTACTCTGAATGAGGCAAAACAACACTTCCAGAAAAGAAGGAGAATTCCTTATCCCTCTCAAAAGATAGCTGAAAACTAATCAGATTACTGCCATGCTCCAACTGCCCTTTGTAATATTGAAGACCTTTCTGCCCACAAATGTCTACTTTATGTTTCTGCTACAGGTACTGACATTCTGCTACTATGCAGTGTGTGAAAATGCCAGGAGTCAAATTGTATCTAAACCTGAAACAATTTAGGGACAAGGTCAAAGATCAGTCTCAAGTTTAGGTGGTCTTTCAGGCTTTTGTGATTAAGGTCTTTGCAGTCAACCTAACATAAAGAGAAACCTTTTCAAAAAAAGCTTAAAACAAGCATGAAATAAATGGTAATGTTGTTGGCAGATATGTAAATGCTAGAAATACAAAAAGATAAAATTCCATCAACCCACAAAGAAAGTTAGGGAAAAAGAAAAAGCATTTATAGTCTCATTGCTTCAATATGCTCCTGAGAACAAATGGTTTTATGGGTTTAGTATAGCAGGATTTAAAAAAAAGAAAGGAATTCAAAAGTGATGGAAAAAAATACATTTGCTGTATACAAAAAAAAAAAAAACAACAAAACACAAAACAAACCAAAACCACAAAAAAACACAAAACCCCACAAGCAAACAAAAGAAACCTCAAAAAAAAGCAAACCCCAAAAAAGTCCTAACAAAAAAACCCAACAAAGAAGAAAAAAAACACAACCTGCCCTAAAAAAAAAATAAAAAATACACCAAAACCAAATAACAAACAAAAGAACAAAGCAGAAACTACAAATATAAATGCTAATGGCTGATATTTAGAAGTAGAAGAGATATCTTTACTTCCTAAAGTTTCAAGGTCTCTCGCTTTAATGCCTCCTCATCCAGAAGGAACATTTGGCTTTGAAGAACAGAACTCAGAAGTGAAAAGATATTCAAATACCTGGCTTCTTGTTCCTTCAGCTTTTTCTGACTGGATGTCATAATGCTGACTGAAAAAAATAACCCTAAAAGACAATTATTTGGTTTATATATAAATCATTACAAGTCAAAGAGTGATTGCTCTTAGAAACAAGTTCTCAAATGCAGGCAGCTACACTGGCTATATGAAATGTTTCTGTGTCCTGATTTGATAGGAATATTCTAGACACCTGTTTGAAAATATGGTCCTGACTAAAAGCTAGATGAAAGCTGGCTCTGTGATCTGGAAGCAGAGAATATATTAGATATTACACCCCTGAGAACCTCCAATGAAGGACTGCTGCTCTGAAAGTTAATGGCCCAAAGCCTATTCAACTCAATGGGAGACTTTTCAGTAACTCCATTAAATTATTGGGTTGAGCTCAAAAAGCTTAATTTAAAGGTCTTTCATGACAGAATTTCACTCTAGTGACAGCATTATCCCAAATTCTGCTGTTCCCAAAAGCAACATCCCAATATTCATTTAAGCCTCTGAGTTGATGTTAACTGCCACAAATTTCAACTTCAGAATATAGGAATTGTCCCAGCTGGCAAATGCTGATTATTGTATTATTCTCATCCGCAAAGTTCTATATATAGAAAGGCAAAACAGTTATTTTCACACTGATTATTGAGTCACAGTAATCACATTTCATATGGGAAGTAATTTATACCTAATTCAGTATGTGAACAATTATGTACACCTTGCCAGTTGTTAGTTAACACGTGCATCAGTTAGCATGTGCCTCTGATGTGTCACACAGTTAATACAGATATGTAAAATGAAAAAAATAAATCTAACAAAAAGTAGCCCTCTTATGACAGTAAGAAAGATACTGAATTCCCAGCTCAACAGAAATTATCACATTTCAGCATCTGTTAATGCTATATGGGTTAAAATCTGATGCATCAATGTTATTTACTGAAAAGGTATTAATGGGAAAAAGGCTCCAGATTCTGAAATACGTCACTTTGAGGTTCAATTCAAAATGAAATATTTCAGTAGTCCTTTTTTTTTTTTTTTATTAGACTGAACTAGAAAGTCCAAAGGAGGGCCATGAGAGCGATCAGGGGACTGGAGCACCTCCCATACGAAGATAGGCTGCAAAAGTTGGGGCTGTTCAGCCTGGAGAAGAGAAGGCTGCGTGGAGACTTCATAGCAGCCTTCCAGTATTTGAAGGGGGCCTATAGGGATGCTGGGGAGGGACTCTTCATTAGGGACTGTAGTGATAGGACAAGGGGTAATGGGTTCAAACTTAAACAGGGGAAGTTTAGATTGGATATAAGGAGGGAATTCCTTCCTGTTAGGGTGGTGAGGCACTGGAATGGGTTGCCCAGGGAGGTTGTGAATGCTCCATCCCTGACAGTGTTCAAGGCCAGGCTGAACGAGGCCTTCGGTGATATGGTTTAGAGTGAGGTACCCCAGCCCATGGCAGGGGGGTTGGAACTTGATGATCTTAAGGTCCTTTCCAACCCTAACTATTCTATGATTCTATGATTCAATGATTCTATGAACTCTTGTTTTCTGTCAGTTCAAGAAAAAGGATAGGTCTTACAGAAGCAGAAGTTTGGATCACTGTTCTCGACTGCAAATGAGTTCCTTGAAGATTTGCACTTCCCGGAGGTAATGTAACTACTATTCTAGCAGGGTCCACATGTTGCCCTGTGGAAACTGAAAACTGAGAACTGAATGGCATTATTATTACTTGTGCAGAGCTTTTTAACCCAGCTGTATGTGCTGTAATCCAAACACCTGTTTAAAACAAAAAAGAAAATGAAAGTCCCGGCTGTCTTCCGAGAAATATGGTTGTCAAACAAGCCTAGTCTATGGAGATTTATCCAAGCTGTAACTTCAGTAAGGCAGTACAGAGCTAGGGAATGGTGTTTTGCTTAACTGCTTTGAAAAAGGTATTTCTAGGAAAATAATATAATTTAACTGAAAATTATTTCAGAGGAACCAGTCTCAAAAGTCGAATCTGCACACAGAAAATTGGGTGGAGAGAATCCTGAGATTTGCTGACATTCCATATCTGTGATTTAGTCCAACAGTTAAGGCCGTAATCATACCTCTAGGCTGTGGCAGAGCATTCCATTCTGTACAGCTGAGAAATGCAAAAAATGAGAGAAAGCTCATCTCTATATTTCCTTTCCTTGGGCCAGTTTGCCAGTGTAAGTTAGATCATTCTCTGATGACAGATGGCTATAACCCCTGGAGGGCCAAGAACCCTAACAAAAGTTCACAAAGTGCACATGAAGGTTTGCAGTACTTTTGGTTTGGACTGCTAAACACTAGAGAGACGCAGAAGGCAAAAGAGTTTGAAAGAATCTTGATAGAGTTACAGGTTGCAGAATTGACGTCTCAAGTGGAGATGCAAAGCACTTCCCCTGCCTCCCAAAACCCTACCATAACATAAGCTCTAGAAATCTAGAAGAATTACAGAAAACAATGAAAGAGGAAGGTGGCCAAAGGAGAAAGCAATTATTTCTACAGTCTACTGACTGCCACCCTGCAACCAAGTCTGCAACTGAATCTGATATATGTCTAAGTCAGGTGTATTACCAGGAGAAGCTTTTCCTGCATTCTGCATCCCATTCAGATGAATTATAGCAGTTTACAATATAAATGATTAAAAGTAGGAAAATTTAATGGCTTGAGGTATCAGAAGTAGATTGCCAAGATTTGGGACACACCTAAGATGAAACAAAACCAGACATGTGAGAGTAGGTTTCATGTTAAATATCTAGTCAGTTCATTGTTTATGAAGGCTATAGTAATTTTATTACTACTATTTCTAGAAATTTATATCCAATGGCAGTATTGCATAGATATTCTAATATAACACTGTCACAGGTACATCTGGCAATGCTACCTGGCCAAAATCAACATCTACACAGAAATACCCCTCAAAAAAACCCCCAGTCACAGTGATGGATGCAAAAATACTATCACAGATAGGCAAGTAGGAATACCTACTGCAATCATTTGGATCAACTTATTTCTCATGAGTTTCCTGCAACTGTAGATCAGCTAAACTATGCAAGCCAATAACTAGATGATGCTGAGAAGAAAATACATCACTTCATGATTTTAAAAGATCTGTATATCAAAAGCAGTAGCTCAACAGAATATGTAGCATAAACTTAATAATAGGAAATCTCCTGATGTTGAACATTCAGTGCAACACTGATATAACTGTCATTTGCTTTTTAAAATTGTACACTCATGTAAATACAGCACGTTCTCAGCCATGTATAGAAGTATGTTGAAAATAAGTCTGATTTCTTAATAAATTAGAAGAATAAGGAACTCCTTTAGGAAAAAAAAAATCAACAGAAAAAAGACCTTGCAGTCACTCTTAGATGTCAAATACCATTAAATATAACTTTGCCTGTTGCTAGAGAAGATAAAAGCTGTATTTAAAAGCCTTGCCAAAAATGTCCTTTTCAGTACTAATTAACATCAATGGTCAAAGCTGCTAAAGAAGCAAAAGAAGAACAGAGAGAGGGAGAACAAGAGAAATAAGTACCATCGCTGACACTAACAGGATTTTTTAAGCTATGTCTCATGATACATTAAAGGATATTTTCCTTTTAATAAAACGTCCTAGGCTTACAAGTACTATAAGCAGATGTCTTTCTCAATCTTCCCCAAAATCAGGTCTAACAGAACACAAAAACAAAAGCCACAGCAAAAATTGCCTCTTCCTAGATTTTTCCTAAGCAATAAATTAGCAGTTCTATAGCATAAATGAAGTAGAAATATCCTTGTCATGTTTGAGAGCACTTTTGGTTACTACATTTCAGGACTGTTCAGCCCACGCCCCAAGATCACTGAGAAAATATTACAGTTAAAGAGCCTTGCAAAGAGAATGAGGCCCCAGGACTGTGTGGAGTTTGTCTTCATGCTTACTCCAGCCACGAGTTTTCTATATTCACAAAATGGGGAAACTTACTGTGGCAGCAATCCTATTCATTGAGAATTGCAATGGATGAATTTTTGTTTGCTTGCTTTTTCCAGGGTTGACTGTGCCAAACAGACCCTTACTAATAAGGGAAAGCATTAGCAGAGGTCAAGAAATGCAGGTGTTTTCTTGTTTTTCAGAGTGCAAAGCAGATTATTAGGTCTGTTGTACCATGTTGCCAAAATAAACTTGATTTCATGTTTTGGAAGTGCTGGCGGCCAGCCTGTTCACTTGTCTTTCTTTACCATGCTACCTCCAATGTGCATTGCACTGCTTAAAAAATAAATGAACCAAACCGAAAAAAAAAAACAACCGAAACCACCCCAAAAACCACCACAAACAACACCCCCCCCAAACCTTTAGGCTCACATCACCACGTGCATGTCATTTTCATTCTTTTCTACAGTTTAGTTTCCTTCAAAAATACAATGCCTTCTAACTTCCCATTTATAGAGTTAAGTCTGGAGGAACTGTGGAAGTGGTGCAGTTCTATGGTTCTACAATTCATAATTACTGCTAACTCAAAATGTGGGTCAGAGCCTAAAAACTGATTAGACCCTTGAGCTTTTCATGTCTCTTCTTGTCATGAGTGGCGTGACAGGGGAAGAAGAATAAACAAGCCTTCCCCCTCACACTCGGCATACGGGCAGCCTAGGGCACTGAAACTCACTATGCATGGGCTAGAAAAAGCATTGGCATGATAGCTACACCAGCTTTCCAAATCTAACCTGTCATTATGTTTCAGTCCTTTTTATGAGGGGATCCTCTTTCACATTTTGTTCAGTCTGACTTCATGCCCTGGATTCTCTGAATTGGCACTAAATGCTTGACCCAAACTTCCAAAAGATGAAAACCATGTTTTTCCTCAGCACCCTACTAGTATTTTTGATTTATTACTGGAGCAATCAACAAAAGTACAAGACGTAGCAGAACTGAGATACAGACATTGTCAGCATGGACAGGATCTCTATGTGATCATTTTAGACAGCTCCCCTGGTACTGAACAGAAAAATGGTTTTATTTGCCAGCTGAAGGAGCTGGAGCAAAATCTTGGAGCAGATTCTCCTGCAAGGCACATGAAAAACAACAAGGTGGCTGGTGACAGCCAGCATGGCTTCACTAACGGGAAATCCTACCTGACCAATTTGGTGGCCTTCTATGATGGGGCTACAGAACTGGTGGACAGCAGTAGAGCAGTTGATGTCATCTACCTGGACTTGTGCAAAGTGCTCAACGCTGTCCTACATGACATACTTGTCTCTAAATTAGAGAGACATCAATTTGATAGGTGGACCACTTGGTGGATAAAGAACTGGCTGGGTGGCCACACACAAAGAGTTGTGGTCAATGGCTCAATGTCCAGCTGGAGATCAGTAACAAGTGGTGTTCCTCCGGGATCGGTGTTGGGACCGGTCTTGTTCAACATCTTCGTCGCTTACACGGACAGTGGGATTGAGTGTGCCCTCAGCAAGTTTGCCAGTGGCTCCAAGCTGTGTGGATCAGTTGATGTGCTGGAGGGAAGGAATGCCATCCAGAGGGACCTTGACACGCTTGTGAGGTGGGCTGATGCCAACCTTATGAAGTTTAACCACGCCAAGTGCAAGGTCCTACACCTGGGTTGGATCAATCCCAGGCACAGCTACAGGTTGGGCAGAGATCTGACATTCAGAACAGCCCTGCAGAGAAGGACTTGGGGGTGTTGGTCAATGAGAAAATGAACATGAGCCGGCTTCAGTGTGCGCTCACAGCCCAGAAAGCAGCAGTATTCTGGGCTGCATCAAAAGGAGAGTGACCAGCAGGTCAAAGGAGGTGATCCTGCCCCTCTACTCTGCTCTTGTGAGACCTCACCTGGAGTATTGTGTGCAGTTCTGGTGTCCTCAACATAAAAAGGACATGGAACTGCTGAAATAAGTCCAGAGAAGGGGATTGGAGCACCTCCTGTATGAGGATAGGCTGAGAAAGTTGGGGCTGCTCAGCCTGGAGAAGGCTGCGTGGAGACCTCATAGCAGCCTTCCAGTATCTGAAAGGGGGCTATAGGGATGCTGGGAGTGGACTATTCATTAGGGACTGTAGTGACAGGACAAGGAGTAATGGATTCAAACTTAAACAGAGGAAGTTTAGATTGGACATAAGGAGGAAGTTCTTTCCTGCTAGGGTGGTGAGGCACTGGAATGGATTGCCCAGGGAAGCTGTGAATGCTCCATCCCTGGCAGTGTTCAAGGCCAGGTTGGATAGAGCCTTGGGTGACATGGTTTAGTGTGAGGTGTCCCTGCCCATGGCAGGGCGGTTGGAACTAGATGATCTTAAGGTCCTTTCCAACCCTAACTATTCTATGATTCTATTCCGTGTCAGTCTTCTATGAGAATCAGTGAGTTAATGGTCAATGTATAGGCATCATTGTTGAACTACTGAGTCATGCTGTGTTTGGTATTTTTACTGTATGGATGGTCACTTCAATAAAAAAGGGATTTTCCTTGTATTCTGAAACAGAGCGTTCCAAAGGACCAAGGGACTGCTTTAGGAAATTACCTTCACTTTATGCAATACAATAAAGCCAGTCTCTTTCCATGTACCAAAATGTAGAAGTGACCAAATTTAACATTTCCACATCAGACAAGCAGTGAGGCACAGCATGTGAACAGGCACAAGTCTCTTAGGATGCATCCAAAGTAACTTGGGCTCTACACTGGGTCAACTAGCAAAAGCCACTGTTTGGACAGCTCAAGTCTATATTAAAATCTGTACAGTAGCTGACAGATAGGATGCATTTTACAATAATGGCAATGGCACTGAATAAATAATTCCAATGGCTTCACAGGCTAATTTCTAATATAACCACCAAGATACCTCTTGTGGGGAGAACATTTAAGAGACCCTTGCATTTTACCACATCTGTACATTCATTCAAAGAAAATGAAAATAACTTGAAAATGAAAACACTTCTACATTTTTTTTCAGTTCTGAACTACAGCTAGAATGCTAATCTAGGATATTGAAATTTATTAAAATGTGTTTGTGAAAAGTTTTGTGTTCACTTACCTGCACATACTAAACATACTAATTAAATCTTCTACTCAATACCAGCTATGAAAATCAAAGTGCTGAGGAAGAAAATTAGGGTTCTTTTGTTACGACAGAAAAAGTGATATTTACCTCTAAACAAAAAATTACCACTTGAACAAAAGTTTACGGTATTTTTATGTCATTTAAGTAATTGAGCTCTGGAACTGTTATGTCAGGAGATTATATTATTGCTTGATGTTAATTTTCTTTTAATATCATTCCAGTGGGCACCCCCTCCTTGTCCCAGTAGGCGTAGCTACAAGGAATTCAAACTGCTGTTAAGCAAAGTGAATGCCCCATCCACATCTCCATGGAAATCTAGCTGGCTCATCCCTTGCTATGGGAACTGTAGCCTCAAAGTGCTGAAGGTTAGTTTGAATAAGCAAGTCCAACCCACATGGGATGAGGAGATGAAGGTCAGCAAAGAATATCCAGTTCTTTCTTTGTAAATGTGTTTTGCTTCACATCTACAGTTATGACTAGTAAGGGCTTGATGGAATACAAGAGGAAGAAATAGGAAGGGAACACAAGATTTTTCTTTCCAGCATGTTTCATGCAGTCTCAGAAATGCTTTTTGACAGCTCCTCATGTGTTGAAGAGGAATTCTTCAATGTGCAATCAGCAAGGGGGTCTCTGTAGATGCAGGTTGGCATATGGTATCTCAAATTTCTCAGTGACAAGTGGCATGTTAGCAGAGCAACAGAGTAGCAGAGAAAAAGACGTTTTGCTAATCACTCCCTGTTGCCCACACCCTCAGGCAGAATCATATTGCTTTATGCAGATGAGCTCATAACAGTTTCTTCAATTTAGCTTTTATATAAAAATGTGCCAGCTCCTAACACTATGTCAACAGGCACCCGAGGGCCTTCCACTTTACATTGCAAGTGTATTACTATTTAAAGATGAGCTTTTAGCTTAACATCATTGCTTGCCTTCGGAGTTTAATTACCGCCCTCCCCATGAGGCCCAATGAGCCATCCACTCCTCCCACGGGAGTTCTGCCTGGCAGTGATCTTTAACTAAATAAGTGAATGCCAAATAAGCACTTCTTAAAGATGCAGTGTCTTGTTTTTTGCCTGGCTTTGAAGGCTCAAGAAGCCAGGCTCTGATTTGCATCTTATGGCAGCAATCCATGTTGAACTTAGAGATCTCAATTATAAATTTCATCTCTGATATAAAGTAGAAAGGGTATATAAAAAAATTAAAAACTTTTTTCCTTTGGTGTTTCTTGTGCTCAATTAACCTACATCATTACCTGTAGGCAGACATACATCACTATAACAAGAGATGCTTGTACCCAGTTACACCATCCACCTTACACAGCTACAGCACTCTGTACAGGCTGCATTTGCTACAATACTCCTCCAAATTATCTTCCCATATTTCTTTCTGTCACCTCTGTCTATTAATTCCCTTTAATTAAATGTCCAAAACAGGTCAACAAATGCTTTTAATTCTGTACCAAGTCAAGCTACTGGGCAAGACACAGAGGATAACAGATTTCTTAACAGTGTCCATAGAAACAGAAATTTAAACATACTTTTCTTTTAAAGAGGGAAATAACAAAAAAATGGCACAACCAGATATGATTTCTGAGAGACAGCAGTATTTCAAAGCAGCTGCAAACAGGAAGGTTGATCCTAGTTCTTAGAATCCTCTAGCCAAATACACAGTGGCACCAAGAACACAAAAAAAAGCCAGTGAGAGATGAGTGAACAATAATTTATGATACAGCAGATATCTCCAAATGCCAGTCACTCAGGAAACCAAGAAACAGGGAGGAAATACAGCACTACAAAATAACAGAGAGCTATTGCAAACTGTGAAGACATGATGTATACACTTCTTGCACCATCTACACTTCAAATCAGTATACACAGCTGTGACTGAGCTGGAAAGGAACAGACCAGGTGATCTGTTTCAACGTACTACTTTGCTAACAGGAAAATAACCCACTTTTGGCACATACTACTAGAGTAATAATCATGACACTTCATTATTTCAAAAGGCTTAGGCATTGGCTCTGGTTTATATGGTACTGTTCAGCACATGTTGCAAATGATGTTGTGAATGTGTCTCTGGGATTTGTGCCTGGCTTCAGAAACAAAATTCAGGCTCTACTGCCACAGTGGTTTTGAAGAAGCTTGGATCTGAACTTAAAATGAAACTGTTCAGCATATAATTATATAAACATTATGAAGTTTTTTGTAACTGTTACAAGACAGCACATTCTTTCACTGTGTTACAGAATATAAAATCTCTAATCATAATATTCTGGGCTAAATAAAAGTACTTCTATTTAAAACAGAGAACAGAAAACATTTTCAAGCGATGGAGTTCACAACAGATTCACCATCTTCAGAAGAAAGCAGAAAGTGCAGGCTCCCTATGAATTATGGATGTGTGGTTATTATGGCAGCAGGCCTCCGGCAACATTTTGCTACAATGTTAATTTTCTTCATTTTTATTTTCTGTTATTTGTATTTATAAGGAAAGTTATCATGCATCAAACACCCAGAATGCCCTTAAAATAGTTACTGGCCTTCTGAAGGTGTGAACTGTAGCTGAATGAAACCAGTTCTTACTCATCTTTAGGCTTTTATTTTTATACTGTGTTTCTCACCAGAGTACTTCAGTGTTTTACAAACATGACCATTTCTTCAGTTTAAAACTAAAATTAAAACTAAGCACACATTTCTTTACCTATCAACTCCTGCATGTGTTGGAGGGCTTGTTTAGTTACTGCGAGAAAGCAAAGCCAGGGAAGTGATTTGTTGTTTTTCTTCCTTTTCCTTAGACAAAATCATGCATGATCATTTCAGTGGAAGGACATGGGTACCTCTTTCTGCATGCAGTTTTAATTCGGAGTCACCATTTGGAAATGACATAAATGCACAGGAATTACATCCAAACACAGACTCTGCCCATTCCTTTGAGAAGATTTTTCACTGACTTGACCAAATTTGGAGAATGGAATCACAATGGGTACTCTGTTGTCAGTACACGTCTTTGAACAAGACCGCTAATACTGGGAAAGATATTCAGGCACCAGATCTATGACACAAATCAGCCATTGCTTCTCTCCTCTATGGCATGTAGCTTTTGAATACCGAATAAAAGTAATAATGAAAATAAAAGGTTCATCCTAAGCTAGGTGTTATTTAGGGCTTCTATCTGATAGTATTTCCAAAGGGACTAATTTGTGCAGGTGTTACCTCTGTTGGCCTGTCCATGCCTAAATAATGTGGCACCTCCTCTTTAAGCCTGTACTGTCACCACTGTAAGGGAGAAGTGTGAGAGTGAAAGGCTGGAAAAAATGCTAGACTCATGGCAAAGGCAATATTTGAAACTTGTCAGGAGTTCCCATCCTGCTTTGAAACAGTTAAAAGTATTACACATACTAAGACTTAGACGTTTGCTCATGTTTGTGTTTTCAGAAGAGAAAGATAGAACTTCCTAAAAAGATGTTAGCAAGTGAATAATTCTGGGAGTTTTCAGCTATTTTCTTCACATTAAATAATTACACGGAAGAGTTTCCCACGTTACTCAATTTCTTCACAGTGGTATTCCAACTGTAAAATCAAAATCATGTTTCGGAAGACCCTTCCCGCATGGTTAAACAAAGTACCAAGTTATGCCACAAGTAGTACAAATTGAAGAGCTGGGTGGTATTATACAGCCTTCTTACAGATTTACTTCTTCACTAAATATGATAATGGTATTATTTTATATACATACTGTAATCACTGAAATATGTCAGCTATCTGCAAACGAGCATTAAAGATCAGATAAAACCAGATTTCTTATGTTTCAGACATGGATTATTGTTAAAATCCAACCCGGAAATTGAAGCAACCCTAAGCACCTTTTTTATTTTTTTTAATTTTTTTTTTATCAGCATTACAGCTCCAAACCATCTGTACTTAATTGTAAGACAACAAATTGTCTAAAAACCAGAGAGGATTAAGAGGACAAAGCTTCTTACGGACAGTTTGTATTAGAGAAATTTAAAGACTGCTAAGATCACAGCACTTCTGTACTTGTCTTATTTCAGAGAAGACCTTATGTTTATCTTCTTCAAAAATGGAAATACATACAGCATGTTGATCATTGCCACAGCTTCAGTAAGAGGTTTACAAGGGTCTTAAACTTTGATGAGAAACCCAATGCTAGTTTAAGAGCTTACTGACATTTACTACTAAGGTTCATGCCAGGCAAGAAGATCTACTGCTGAGCTCCAGTGCTCCACTGACTCCCAGAACTGGAGAAACTGGGCCAGTAGAGTAGGATGGAAGGCATTTTGTATACCATGCTTCATGTACAGAAAATAAAATATTTTTATTTACGCAGAATGAGGAACAGAAATTTGTTTACAGTGGGATGGATGAGGAGAAATGGAGACATTGGTCACTAAATGAGTCACCCAAGCACAGATTATCTGGTGTGAATGGCATCATGTCAATCACCTGCTGATGAATACCTCAGTATACTGAGCATCTCCAAAAATCTTTAAAGTCTCATGCCTATTCTTCTATGTCTGCATTCTTTTTCATTTATTCTTTTTGCTAGGCATGATTTATTTCAATAACTGGATAGAAAGTAATATTATGAAATTAAATAACAATTCGCAAGATGAATAACTAACAAATACTAGTCAAAGTCAGTAGTTTGCCTACCTGCCAGCTACACTACACTTCATTAAAACATCACTTGGTGTATCTTCCAAAGAAATCTATACCTGCAGAACATAAAAGCCTGTGCATTTGCCAACAACCGTTTCCTTTTGGGTCTCTTTTTTCACGTCATTAAGGTCTTTTTTAAATTATTTTCTTCTCTTAGATCTCTATTTTTAACCTTTGCAAGCTATACCCTTTCCTTTACCAGATCTAGCTATCCCAACTGACCACAGTACTTATCACCGTTGCTGCTGCTGCTTATGTTCTCCTCATCCATTCTCTAATATTCTATCTAATCATCTTCATAAAAAGGAAGTGCTGTAAAACTGATAAATAGAGCAGGAAATGTGCTGCAACAGTCAAGACCTTTCCAGAACCTTCCAAAGTTATTTCAAAGAGAACTTTTTTTTGAGAGAGAGAATAAAATCCTTAGGCAAACCACACCACAACTTCTGAATAAGCTTTAAATGACATGCCCCCTGGGATCCCTTATGCAGTAAATGAAATTAATTTGCTTTAAAAATAACTGGTAAAATATTTAAAGATGAACAAGATGTTACAACTATATAATCTACTACTTAAAATAGCCATACACATTTTTTATATAGTAGTAAATAGTTCTGGGCCTGGCATACAGACTACTTTAAACAGTTTTCCAGTCTTACAAGAGCTGTATATTATTGTCT